TGAAGCTGTCGGCCTGGGCCCGGGGGCCATCCTGCCTGTACTGGATCTGCTGGTTCTCCACCTGAGGGGCAGAGGCTGGGTGACCCTCCTGGGAGGACACGGGCCACCAGCCCCGCTGGGGAAGGGGACCTGTGCACCAGCCTGGGAGGAGGGAGGGAGCCGGGCACCTACTGCTTGCTCTGGGGCATCCAGGTGCTCTGCCGGCATTCCCATCCTGTATCCCCAGGGACACACTTTGGGGGTTGATGTGTTCCCTGTCCGCAGGGCAAACCTGCCACCCCAAACCCCTCCATCCCGAGGGCAAATATCTCTGATGGGGAGAGGAGCCCCGCAGCCCTCCCCAGCCTCCCAGTGCTGCTGGGGGCTGGAGCCCACCCCCGGGCTCTTTCCAAACCCCCTGGGAAAGCAGCATGGTGGGCAAGCGGGCACCCTTGGCTGCTCTACCTCGCTCCAGGTGAAGCTGTGCAGCCCGCTGTCCTCAGGCCGCTTGCTGTTCAGGAGGGTGCCAAACTGGGGGGGCTCGAGCACCCTGAACTCCATGCCGAGAGCCGTGAAGTAGGCATTGGGGATGTTGAGGATGCCCTTGGAGAGGGTGACGGAGCCACCTCCCGGCACTGTGATGTTGCGGACGTCCAGGGGGACAGCAATGGGGAGCACGGCCAGGCTCACCACCACCCCCTCCAGCGGGTCCGCGCCGCTGGCCGTGATGTCCACGACAAACTGGTCACGTTCCTCCTCCGGCTTGGAGTGGAGGTAGAGGACTCTGCCGTTGTTGATGTCCTCCTGGGTGAAGGACTGGATGGGGGCCAGGCTGGGGTGCTCATGCAAGTAATGCTGAAGCATCGCCAGGAAGCCGGAGGCTGGGGGGCTGCTCACCAGGTAGACTATGTCTTGGGGAGGGATCTCTTCGTGGGTCACCTGGGAGTGTGGGGGAGACAAGACATGAGTGGGGGGCTGGTGCCTGCGAGGCTGGGCTGCCCCACAGCCCACCGCTGTGCAATCCCCCAAGGCTTTGCTGTGGGATGAGCTGCAAGAGTCACCTTCTTGCTGAGGCCATGCCTGAACCGCCCCCTCTGCCCCTGGGGAAAGCCTGACATGGGCACAGGTCCTTTGCTCTGGGCAGGTGGGAGTAAAATGGAGTCCCAGTGGTGGCTGTGCTGGTTTGGTGGCCAGGGAAGTGGTGCAGGCTTGGGAATGACTACAGAAGAGAATACTCACCAGTAAGTACTCGTCCTTGATCCCCGCCGCTTCCCCCTGGAAGACGTGGATCTCCTTGTGGTTGACTATGTGCAGGGGGCTGGGATGGGTGTCCAAGAACACGCTGATGGCCAGCGTGTCCTCCACCGCCACCTCATTTGCTTCTACAGTGAACTGGAGCTCATCCCGGGTGTTCCTGCTCCCGTTGTGGAGGTAGGAGATCTCTCCTGCTAGCAGGTCCCTCTGAGAGAAGGCCATGACCGGCTGCCCCCCTCTCAGCACGGTCCCCCACCGCGGGGGCATTGTTATCAGGAACCGTATCTCTTCATCTGACCTGATGTCCATGTTGGTCTCCAGGCTGAGGACAGAGGAGTCAATGCTCCCTCGGCTGCCTTGGTGGATGACTAGACCAGTGTTGTTGACTATTTTGATGTAGGGGTCTGACGCCTGTACTTCCAGGAGGGCTGTGGTTTGGTGGAGGCCATCTGAGACTTGTAGCTGGATCCAGCCCCGGTCAGCCCCCGAATGGACAAAGAGGATTTTCTTCTTCCTCAAGTCATCCTGTGTGAACCGATAGACCTGGTGGCTTCTGTCATCGACAGACACAATGCTGCCAAACAAAATGTCCTTCCTCGCCAGCACTAGCTGTGTGTCGGAGAAGCCAGAGTCCTTGTCAGTGAAGGCGATGTCGTCTGTCGTCAGCAGGTGCTGCCCATTGCGCACCACATTGAAGACCTTGTTCACCACCTGGACCGGGGTGTGGTCATTGACGGGTTGGATGGAGACCCTGAAAACACCTCTCACCTCCTCCACATCGGACTCAGCGCTGCCCTCGCCCTGCCTGATCGCTACGAAGGGGATGTCGTCCTCCAGTGTCTCAGAGTCATCATGCTGGTACAGCAGCCGGCGGTGGAGGATGTCATCATTGGTGAACTCTGTGATCTCCTCTCTGGAGGCCCAGCCATGGGACGCAGCCCAGGCCAGCCTGCCGTGTGCTGGCCCCTCAATCACTTCGTAGAGGTAGTCCATGCTGTTCATGCTCTGTACAAACAAGTGGTCCTTGGAGATAACAGCTTGCCCCCCTTCTGGCACAGTCAGGAGGACGTTGGTCAGGGCTGGTGCATCAGGGTCCCCACCAATGCCGATTGTGTAGGTATAGACAGGAGAATGCTGCTCGCCAGCACAGACACGAAACTGGAAGGTGTCCTCAGCTTGCTGAGAGTTCCTGATGGTTGCGCTGTAGCTCAGGTGGTTTCTTTGTAGGTCATCTTGGGTAAATCCAAAGCCTTCGGTCAGCCTGTTGCCGAGCAGCTCCAGGTTTCCCTTTTTGGGAGCCTGGATTATCACGTAGTGGAAGGGAACTGGGGCAGAGTTTGGATCTTCCAACATTGCCTCCAGCTCTTTACTGGTGATATTTCTGTGCCGCTTGTTCTTCATCTGGAGTGGGACCATGGTCCTCATCTTAATAGTGGCTCTTTTAATCCTTATGAGAAAGGTGTTGTTTTGCAAGACCTTCTGCCCCACCTGGACTTCGAATCTCAGCTTCTCCACAACATCTTCCAGCCGGTGCTCCGGGTCTGTGCTAAAATACTGGATGCGCCCTTGCTCCAGGTCTTGCTGGTGGAAGGACTCGACTTTTTTCCATTCCCCTCCCATGCTCCCTTGCTTCTGGACCTCACCATACCTTAGGGGCTCTGTGAGGACATACAGGATGGTGACCCGTTGTTTCACGGCGTTTGTCTCCACTGACAGGTTGGCTGTGGTAATGCGTGCAGCCCCTCCTTGGGAGATAGAGAGGCCGGTGTTGTTGTGCAGGCGGATGTCAGGGTCAATGGCGAGGATCCTCAGGGTGGCAATGGGGCTTGGGACTGTGCCGTCACTCACCTGCAAGGTGAGCTGTAAGTTTGTCCCACTCTGGTGCACGTAGGCTATGTTGCCTGCTTCCAGGTCCCTGCAGGAGAACTCTTCGATGGGCACTCCAGGGTGAAAGTCATACTCCACATAACCCTCCTCCATCTGCTGGCCACCATGCAGCTGGAATTCGAGGTCATCACAGGATGTGTCATCATCTAGGACCTGCAGGATGTCTGTGGTCAGGTGTTTCCGTGTGTGCTTCAGGATTGTCATGTGGTTCCCGTGGGGAAAGATCACCTGTGGGGCGTCATTGATGGGGTTGATCATGATGGGCAGCAGGTACATCTGCCCCTGCCGCAAGCACTCTGGGACCCCTTGCTGGGCAGTCACTGTCACCTCCAGCATCAGCTGGTCCATGGGCCCCTCGGAGCCATCGTGGACATATCTGACTTTCCGATTCACAATGTCCAACAAGGTGAACTTTCTTCTGCTCCTGGACCCAGGAATGTCCAGCTCCAGCTGGCCGTGCCTAGGGTCGTTGGTGATGCTAAAGAGGATTTGGGACTGCCGGATGTTTGCAAGGCTCAAGTCTACCGTTGGCTGGGCGTGTTTCCACTCCAGATAGGCCGTGCCCCCTTCAGAGACGATGAGGGGGCTGACGTGCAGCAGCCTGCTGATGTTGGCGAAGGCGGGAGGGAAGCTGTTGTCTGGCCGGCATGCTTCCACCACCAGGCCCGGTGCTCCTGACCAGACATCTGGAGGTGGGGAGGTGGGTGCCTCATCCTGCTCATACACCTCATCATAGTCCCAGTAGTGCTCCTGCTTTCCACAGCCTGATGTGATGTCCTTCGTGATCACGGCGTCTTGCAGACTCCTCCTCTGCAGGTTTATCCGCAGGTCCTCCAAGCAGCCAGCAAATGAGTTGTTGGTCATGGTCCACACTGAGATAAAAGCAAGATGGTGTTCCCTCAGCCTTTGCAAAGCTTTTTCATTCATACCTCCGATGAAGAGGTTTCCCTGAAGGTCCAGGTAGTTGTTGATGCCCCGGTTGGACGTGGATGAGGCGTAGTAATCAATCAGGATCTCAAACTTGTGGATGTCCGTGTAGACTTTGACATAGTGCTGCTGCTCATCGCTGATGAAGACGTTGTTGTGCAGGACGATGATGCCGTTCCCCTTTTCAACAAACCCTCTCAGGCGCCCGTTGGAGATCTCCAGGTAGAAGAAGTCATTCTCCAGCCCTGCGTGGTAGATAAGGGGTGCCTGGGTGATGCTCGTCGTTATCACAAATTCGATGGTTGCTTCCTCCCTCGCATCCCATGTGGGAAACGCGATGTAGGAGTGTGGCCCCAGGAACCCGAAGGGGTCCTCGGGCTCTGCAGAGAACTGTGTGCTGCACCCTTCCTGGACCCGGTGGAAGATCTTGGAGCTGCCGTCAGAGGACAGTGGGGAGAGGACATCCAGGCCGTTGAATGTCACTAAGTGGAGGCAACCTCTGAAGGGTGAGCTGGCCTCGGCGAGGTACGGCAGGTCAAGGCTGCCTGTCCCACCGGCATAGAGGCCGTACTGGATGTCCAGCTCCCGTACGGGTCCTGCGATGTCCACGGAGCTGTTGAAGAGACCGTCAATGGTCAGCGTCATCCTGCCATCTTCCACCAGCAGCTCCACATCATGCACCGCCAGGTTATTGAGCTGCAGCTCTGCTGGGGACTGCAGGGTCACCTCCTCCGAGCCCAGCTGCAGCCTGGCCTGCAGGGAAGGACATGGAAAGTGCTCAGCTCAAGCAAGGTGTTATCTGCAGCACAGGAGACACCTCTCCACCTACTGAAGCGTGGACTGTTCCTGGGGGCCCACAACTGTTTTGGTCCTTCTGTTCACTACTGTTTGTCCTGCCCTCTTGCTCCTCTGTGCATGTTCCTCCCTCCCCAGGTAGATCCCCCTGTGGGCATGCCTTCTCTGTCCTGCTCTCTGAAGTTCTCTGCTTTTTCACTCTTTCTCGGCAAACCCTGGTCTCAGGGCTATTTCCTTGGGGTCCTCCACCTCCCAGTCTCCCTGCCCCGCCGCTGGGCTTTCTCTCTCCCCCCATGGGCTGGTTCCCCTTTCCCTGCTCCATCCTGCCCGCTGCCCTCCATCCCTGCAGCCTGGGCTGCTTCCAGCCCTTGCCCTGGGAACCGGTGGGGGAAATAGCAGGCTTTGCTCCCCACAGGCAGCAGCCTGGAGCCTGCCTAAGTAGAGGGTTAGCTGATGGACCCTGGGACACACGGTCTGCATTAGGGAGACCTCCGGCCAGCTGCTCGCTTGCTCTCCTGCTTCGCTTTAGATGTGGTTGGTGGCCCGGCCCAGGCTGCAGGAGAGGCGGGATGTGTATCTCAGACGCTCCCTGCTCTTTTCCTTCATGGTGGATGCCAACACCACAACCACAAGAGGGAATTTTATTCTTCTGTCCTTTCCCATGCCCCAGTTGGGTTTGGCCCATGGTGGGATGGGGGAGTCTGCTGACGGAGACCTCTCCTTTCTCTGGATCCTCTCGGCTCATCCCTTCTCTTCACTAATCCCTTGCACCCCGAGGGTGCTGTGCACCATGTCTGACCGCGCAATGTGCGTGGGGTGCTGGTGTCTGGGTGTCTCCGTGATGCTCCCCAGCATCACCCTAGGCAGTGGGTGAGGGGCTTCCCAGCTGGAGCCTGTTTCTCTGGATTTAGCTGATTCTCCCAAGATCATGTCCACTCTCCTCTTAAACTGTTAACATCCC